TTTGTCTTCTCAATTTGGCTGCCTCCCTGTATTTGTTTCTGTGTATGAGGTAGAGCTGCTTGACTCCCTGTCTTAGTAGCCTGTCACAGAAAAGGCACCTGTAAATTGTGTGGGGCAAAGGCTTAGGTAATTGCCAGGGCAGGCAACTCACTTCACTGCTTTGTGGTTCTGTGTGGGGGGAGGGCTCACAGTGGGGTCAGTACTGCTGTCTGGCTTCTGTAGGTTTGCCTAGCACTCGCCCAGTGTGACTGGTGCTCTGGTGCTGAATTCCAGAGAGGGTGGGTTTCCATACGTTTTAAATCAGTATGGGCCCTTAAGCAGAGTCTGCTGAAAATCCAGCCATTTCTTCCTCAGCTCCAGCCCCCACTGATTTTTACAGCCAAAAGTTACGGGGATTTATCTGCCTCATGCTAGAACCCTGGGCTCTGTGGTCTGACCTGGGGTTGGGATCTCTCACTCCCAAGGTATCCCTCCTGATTTTTATCTACCACATGTGAATGTGGGACCCCCTGTTCCACCACTGCCTCTCCACACCTCACCACATCCCTGTACATCTCTGCCCGTCTCCACATCTCTGCCCCTCCTCTCCACCTGGATGAATGTGGCTTCTTTAAATCCTTGGTTGTAGGGACTTCCATACAGCTCGGTTTTTCTGATACTGGGTGTTACTTATTTTGAGGTCTAGTTGTAATTCTTTCTGTGGTTGCGCAAAGAGGAGAAGCATGTATATCTACACCTCCATCTTGACCAGAAGTCACTAGAAACTGAAATTTATAGTGGTTTAACATCCATGTTCTCCAACAATAATTGGAAGAATATTCATGTAAATCTAGTTCTTTTTCAAAGCTCAAGTTCTTTCAACCTCAGAATACTGCTTCTGTGCATTTTTGAAAAGGTAATAATAAAAGACTGTTTTTTCTTTGGAGACATCACTTTCTCTTAGACTTTCCCCTACAACTCAGATTCTGCCCTCTCATTCTGCTTTGTTAGTTCCCACATCTTTTCTGGACTTTCAACATTGGGGTACCCTAAGGCTTGGTTCTGGGACATCTTTTCTGTCTGTACTACCTTGCTTGGTGATCTTATATAGAATCACAGCTTTAAATATTATCTCTATGCTAGTCATTAATTCCACATTCATGTTTTCACCCTAGACCCCTCTCTAGAATTCTAGAATTTTACATCCAACTGCCTAGTCTACTTAGATGTCTAATAAGCATCTCAGTATAACATCGAAGACCAAACTTGAACTCTTTCATCAGTTCTGCTTTTACCTCATTTTATCCCATTTCAGTAATGGCATCACCATTCCCTAGCTGCTCAGGCTGAAAATCCTGAACTCCTATCTCTCTCTCCCCCTTCCTCTCCCATTTCTCTTTTTCTGGAGTACTCGCTCTCTCCCACTTCATCTTCTTCACCTGTCTCCTTCCCTCTTTTACTCTTTCCTACTCTCTGCCCCTTCTTCCCCTCTCTTCCCCTCTCTCCTCTTTTTCCCTCTTCATCTCCTCTCCCTCCCTCTCTCCATTCTTTTCTTCTACCTTTTTTCACTCTTTCTCTCTTCCTCCCCTCACATGTATTTTATTAACAAATCTTTATGACTCAGTGACTTTTATTTTCCATCATTTTCCTTTTTCCTTACTTTGTTCTAGCTACTCTGGATCCCTTATTCTACCTCCAATGTGCCAAGCACATTCCCACCTCAGGACCTTTGCACTTGCTATTCCTTCTAGAATACTCTTTTCTCAGATTCCTGTACTTTCTCACTTCCTGTTCATCTCTGCTCAGATGTCAACAGTGGGACCTAACTCAGCCACTTTTAACATTCATCTCCCCTCACTATGGCATTCTCTGGTCTCCCTACCTTGCTTTCTTTTTCTTCATCACCCTGTGACATGCTAAATATTTATGTGCTGTCTCCTCAACTAAAATAAAAGTTTCGTGAGCTCAGGGACTAGTTCTCTGCAGTATCCCTGGCACCTAGAGCAGTTGTGGATGGCACATGGTAGCCACTAAGTAATTATGTGTTTATTGAAATGAATGAATGAGAATTCAGCCAGCACCTGTTCCTAATACCAAACCAGAATTTTTTTCTTATGTATGTATTTGAGGTTTACATATACACACTATGACATGATGAATTTCTTTCTTTTATGTGAAGATATATATCGGGACATTGTTAACTATTGTATATAGCACAATTACTGTATGTGATGCTAATGTCCTTGAATAATCCTTTGGTTGAGAGAAAATAATTTGATAAATTCTTGACTTCTTAAAGTCAGTTATAGTCTCCAAAAGCACAATAGGAGAAACTGATTCCTATTGACCTGTAAGTCCTGTGGAAGTATTAGGAAGGTTCAGGTAAAGGGGCCTTTTCCTCTTCAAGTCTGTAATTATGAAGAAAAGGAATGTTTGCTCTAGTTAAGTGATTTTCTTAGACTGTAGAAAAGCAGATTTTACTAAATTCAGAAAGTAAAATCTTTTATTGCATGGCTAAAGAGTTAAAAAGTAAATTACTTCAAAAGAACTGAATTTTCTAAAAGTGGGTATTTTGCCTGAGCACCAAGGCAGTCCTGATAGTGAACAAGAGCGTGACTTTGTCAGATGTGTTCTTTTTTTTAAATCATTGTTCAAGTACAGTTTTCTCCCTTTTATTCCCATTCTAGCCCACCCACCCAGCCCTCCCCACTTCCTTCCTATTACCACCCTCCCTCTAGTTTTTGTCCATGTGTCCTTTAAATTTGTTCCTGTAAACCCAGATGTGTTCTAATAAAATTTTTAAAGGATATAAAAAATGACAAAATAAATGTCATAGTCTTATAACTCTTGTTAAGTTAAGCTAAGAAAAACCTGAAAATAATGAAGCACCTAGAGACTACAAAATGGATTTTCCTTAAAGTTATGTTCAGAGCTTGAAAAAAAATCCAACTAGGAAATGATAAAAACCACTGCTCAGCAAAGATGATGTAATATTAGTATGGCACAGAAAGAAGGCAGATCTAATCAACTCCTATTTTGTTTTGTTTCCATCTTTCCTGTTAGAACAATGATTGGGAACCTAATTTTCAGTATGAAAGTACTGTCTTTGATACAACTAAAGTGGTTGCTGATAAAAATATGACTCTTTGAAAGTAGAATCCTCTTCTTTACCATATTTTCACAGGGCAGGCCTTAACATTTTTCTGAAAGAGAAATCACTGTCCCTGCCCTGTTATGGAACTGTGACCTAGCTGGGTCCAGATTGAGGTGGGCTGGGAAGGCATAATTGTGAAACAGTTAGGTAAACCTCTGGTTAAGCAAATGAAGACAAAGTGGTATAGGGTATTACATATACCAAATAAGGGAAGATTCTTATAGGGAAAGGATTAATCTGGGAGGAATTTATGAAGGTAGTAAACTTTGACCTGGGCTTTTGAAACAAGTAAAACATTTTAATTAGAAGAAAGGAATAAGGAATGACTTTCAGTGCTTTTTCCTTAAGAAAAAAGCATTTTCCTTAAATATCTCTTTCAGAGATAGTACAGTAAATAGAATAATAGTTATAATAGAACAATAACATTTCTTGACTGCTTACATAACTCAGCATTACACATGCCATTAATTCTACACATGCCTTATACAGACAAATGAAAAAGTATTTATTTTGTAAAAGTGTCAGGATGACAGCTGTCAGTAGTAATTTTAAATAGAATGTTAGTACTGATCTATTACTCTGCTTACTATATATGAAGAACTGCCCTAAATGACTGTAACTAATATTTAAATATTTTAATATCTACTATGTTACCTCATTTAATTCTCCTGTCAATTCTGACGTCCTTTTATTAGTTGTTATGTTCATTTTGCAAATGAGGAACTAAGGTGCTGCAAAATTAGCAGCAGTAGCAATACCAGCAAATACTAGCAAAAAGCAAATGCTCAATAAATATTTAGCAAATGAATGAAAGAATAAGTAAGCAAACATGCCCAGGATCAGTTATACCACTAGTAAGTGCTTAGCTCTAGATTTTACGATACTAAGTCTGACTCTTGGCCTGAACACTACACAGTGAACTAAGTGAAAACATTTGTGTATATGAACAAATGGATCCAGTAAATTAAGAGGTTTGGATAATTGATGGAGTAAAACCAACTTTATTGCAATCATAAGAGAATTAGAGTGTTGAGGATAAGAGTCAAGTCTTTAGAGTCAGAGATCTGATTTTAAATCCTGTTTTTTGTACTTACTAGTCACATTACCTCCTTGAGTAACACTCACCTCTTTACACCTGTTTTTTTACAGATGCCAAAACTGTAAAATGTGACAGTGATTCTCTCTTAAATTAAAAAGCAGGATTAAGAGAAGTAGTACATGGAAAGTTCTTAGTACAGGTCTTGGCATGTAGTAATACTAAATAAATTAATATAATAATAATTTCTAAGAGTTTTGGTCCATTAGAAAGGGAAATGACTGAATAAAAACAATCCAGAGAAATCTGAATCTGACTGGCCTGGCAGTGGCAGCCAGGATGAATTAGAAGACAAGAGAGCAGAGGTTAGAAGAAGAGTAGAAAGTGTTAAAGGGTTCTAGTTATCAAGTACTGCCTACAAGAGAGCAGTGGTATGAATGAGACAAAGTGAGAGGGGGCGAGTGAATTGGAAAAACACTATAAAGGCATAGTCGATCAAAATGTGGTAATTTTATCAGGTGTTTTATAATGTTTTATATCTCTTTAGAGAATTCTGAGGTCATTGTTGACAACTTGTCATTGGAATTAGTACTTTAATGCCTTTGGCTTGCAACTCAAAGCTCAAGAGTGATGGTAGTTCTAATTATGACATACTAAATATATTCGCAGAACTTCCCTTTTTTTTTCTTGCCACCCTACCACAACCAAAGTAATACGAGTTTTTTGCATATCTTTTTGAACTCTAAAACAATCCAAGTATTTTTTTTTTTTCAGGTAATTCTTTCCTTGCAGGAGCCACTGATTGAAAACCCATTCTCTGTTTTATTTCAGTGCAAGCAGTTACTGACTCAGTCTGTAGACTCCAACAGAGGGAGCAGGAACGAAAACAGGTAAGATAATTTGGATTTTGGAGCATATAACTCCAGGGCTTTTATTATCATCCTATTATTAGCAGTTGCTTTGTATAAAAAGAAATATTTTTTTTGAAATTTTCTTAATTTGCTTTTTTATGCAATGATTTTAAAAGATTTAAAAATGGATAATTTAAGATGTATTGAAGGGGAATGTGTGTATTATTGCACCATCCATATTTTTATAGTACAAATTACAGACCTCTTTTTTTCTTTCCTTTTGTTTTTTTTACCATTTCAGCATTTTCATATTTCCCTTGAAAGTGGTATTTGTCTTGTGGAGGAGAAAGAATAGGACTTTTACATGGAACAAAGAATACCCACCAGATTGGAAATATAAATCTTTCCTTCACGCCTGAAGTGTTGAATATATTATGTATATTTCTTCTAGAAAAGGAAGCATTCATGCCCGTGGATGGGTTATTTAATGAATAGTCATAAGATTGTGTGAATCACTCGCTGAGGAGTGCTTTGCTTATTTGAATTATATCTTAACTAAATTCAGATGTGGAAAAATAGCACAAGAATATAAGTTCCTGTAATAATTTTGTGTTTTCACATATAATTATGAAGTATTTATATAACTTATTTATTGCCTTAAGCTAATAAAGATACACTTATTAAGAAATGTTGAAAATACTAACTCATTCTGAAATATACACCTTTTTGCATGTGCGTGCATCAACGAGTGTTACTGTGTCCATTTCTCTGGAATGTCTTGTGGTTAATCCATAATAATGGTTCAGATTTGGCACTGTATAAAAATATAATGGAATGAACCTTGCCAGAATTTAAATTTCTATACCCTCTGCTCCATTTTAAATATTGATAAAAAGTTTAAACATTGAACAAATTGATGAATCAAGCCTACTGAAAGGACTTGACATTTAAGCCAGGTGGGAGGGCTGCCCAAGATGAGTAAGATTGTTTCTAGTAGGTCAGGTCAGGAAGCAGGGCCATTGCTGAACGCAGTGATAGAAGGGCAAGGCAAAGCCGTAGGCAGGAGAGTCTGTGTGAGGGTGAAGTGTTTGCACAGTGTCTAAAGAACACTGTAAAGGCAAGCACAAAGGCAGGCACAGGGGCTTCAATGGGTCATTCCTGGCCAGAAAGATTTTTTTAAGTCCTCTATTTTACTAGATGTAACTGGAGAGTGAAAAATTTTACTTTTTTGAGTTTAAGGCAATTTATACACTCAGGAGGTAAAAGTCTAGGGGTCCCAAACCACTAGTGCTAATATAATATAGAATAAAATAAGAGCTGTGGTCAAGTTACAAAGAACTTCATAAGATCTTGGCAAAAGGAGTAATATATTAGGAAATGGTGACCTTTGAGCCATATATTGATCGGTGAGTTAAAATTCAATTGATAGAAGATGGGAAGAAAGATATTACAGGGTGAAAGGTATTATGTAAGTAAAAACAAAGGATGTGAGAAGTTATTAGTCTGGAGCTGGGATGTGGAATATCTATAGGGGTATATCTGAAGATGATTGTGGAGAATGTTGATTGCTATATTAAACAATTTGTTACAAATCTTTCTCTGTTTGAGAAGCAGAAAGATTTTTTTTGTAGGGACACTGGTTGTACTGGCTATTACTGGCTGTAACATACGCAATTGGCTTTCAAATAAAAATTTAAACAGGGTGTCCTGTGCCGGATGCTGCCTCTCTAACATGTTGCTGTGTGACTTAAGCAGATTCACGTGAATATGCTTTCACACATTAGTTTTTCTAAGACATGATCAAAATAGTTATCATTCTAATAAAATGGCGATTTTTGCATCCTTGAGCAGAACTAACCTAAAATTAAATTATAATTGAAATAGTTCTTCTTGGCACTTTGAACTTTTTTCGTATTTGGTGTATTGACCATACAAAGGTAGGAAAATGACCAGATTAGGTAAAAAAAAAAATAATAATAATTCTGGTGTCTTGTATTTCTGGCTGTTTCCTTTATTAGCTAGCTGTATGTTTGTGGATAATGCCTTGGGCTTCAGGTTCCTCATCTGCAAAGTAAATACCTGTTCTCCTTAACCTGATGGATTAATATTCTACTTAACTGACATATTGTACTATATAGTTTATGGGAAATGGCTTTGCAAATTGTATATCACTCTCCAAATGTAAGATGGCACTTTTTCCCTGCCAGCTCGATCATTTGTTTAAAACGCAGGCAATCACTTTGTGGATAAGAACTCTGCTGTGGTCTATTAGAGTTTGTGAAGCCCCTGAAAATCCTGTCATTTATGGTGTTCTGAATTAAAAGATATTATCCTATGGTTTAAAAAAAAGTGGCCTCAATAAATCCTTTAGAATGTTTTAGTCTTAAATATATTTCTTACAGGTATTATGTTAGAGAATGTTACTGAATTATCTTTTTATGGAGTACACCTTCAAGTTACTATTTTGGAATGTACTGAAATGTAGTTTCACTAAGAACTATTTGGAGTCTATGAAACCTACATGCATAATCAGCCACTGTATTTTCTTTTCTCAAAGTAATTTAATAAAATTAGCCAGCTGAGAGTCACACACAAAAATTGCATTTTTCAGGAAGAGCTCAGAGAAAAGTAAAAATCTTTTATATTCTTCCAAGGCAATAAACCTTTAGTCTTCATTGCTTTTTCAGTGTTTACTTAGTTGGCAAAACATCTGAAATACAGATCTTTAAGGATTCTTTTTTTCTGTCATATCTGTTTGCCAAAACTTCGATGTGGCAAAGGTTTGAGATGACACATATATAAAAGACATTAAGTTTAATTTCTCATCTAGGAAATATATACAAAGCAAAATTGACCTCTAGTTGCATTTTGCAATCTAATGTTAGTGGTTGCCCTTAGTTATACTGTTGGCTACATTTTGTGTATTTGAATGGCTCTCGGAACAAAGAAAGATGGGAGTAGTAATGGAATAAAATAGACTCCTGCCATTAATCATTAATTCTTTTATGTCAAGACAATTTGTGGAATTCTGTGGGAAGTAAATTATGATAAACGTCATTCATACAAATCACATTTCCCACAATTGATGTCTAAAAGTACATTCAGAAGAACAATAAATGCACATTCCCTAGTTATTTGACATATGTTTTGAAAATGACCCACTAATACAAAGTCACATTTTGGGTGCTAGCAATAAGAGTAGTGCAATGAAAATACAATTAGTTCATGAAATTCATTAACTCTAAAAAATAGACCATCAAGGAAAGATGAGCTTGTTAATATGTGTGAATAATTTAAATTTAGGTTCCATAAACAAGCACCAACTTTTGAAGCCATATTCAACCAAACAGAGAAAGTATTAAAGAAAATGTGACTCTTTTGCACCCATACAGGAAAGTACTACAGTTTGTCAGGCAGAGAGTGAAAGAGAGGAAAACATGGGCAAGAGCTTTTTTTGTGGTTTCCACATGAAGTAACATGTGAAGCAGGATAATCAGGTCTAGGATTGTGTAGTTTGAATAATTTCTTCAAGCTCTGGGGCATAGGGGCTACCTGTAGTTGTCTGTTACCTGGCTCTGGGTGATTAGGACAGGTAGATAATAGCCCAGAATATGCAAGGCCTGTAAAGAAAGTAGTTGAGGTATAGGCTTTGGATTAGTTGGCTTGCATACAAAAGGTGTGAATGGTCACAGGGAAGTTGTTTACTCTATGTAGGAATAGTCTAACTATGGGAGGGACAGTTTTTCCAGGGTCAGCAAGGCCCCAGATGTAAAACCATCATGAACATATGATTAATACAATATGAGACATCTGACTTTGTTCTTTGTCAAAACTATTTTGTTTTGACTATTTGGTGTCATTTGAAATTTTACATATATTTTAGGGTGAATTCTTCTGTTTTTGCAAAAATCATCATTGGGATTTTAATAAGGATTTCATAATACTGTAATCCTTTAATAAGGATTTCATAATCCTGTAGTCAGGATTTCTTGCCTGACTTTGGATAGTATTGACATCTTAACAAAATTAAATCTTCCAGTCCATGAACATGAACTGTCTTCCATTGGTTTGTGTCTTTAATTTCTTTCAACAATATTTTATAGTTTTTAGTGTACAAGTCTTTTGCCTTCTTGATTAAATGTATTCCTAAGTATTTTATTTTTCAATGCTATTGTAAATTGAATTATTTTCTTAATTTCCTTTTTGTATTGTTCTTTGTTAGTGTATAGAAACTGCAACTGATTCTGTTGATTTTGTATCCTGCAAATTTGCTCAATTTGTTTATTATTCTAGCAGTTTTCTGTGGAATCTTACGGTTTTTGACATGTAGACCGTGTTGTCTGTAAATACAGGTAATTTCACTTCTTTCTTTCCATTTTGGTTGCCTTTCATTTTCTTGCCTGACAGCTCTGGCTTGGACTTCCAGTACTATGTTGAATATAAAAGCAGAATCCTTATCTTCTTCTTGATATTGGAGGGAAAACTTTCAGATTTTTACCATCACATATGATACTGGCTGTGAGTTTTTCACATATTGCCTTTATTATGTTGAGATCGTTTTGTACTATGGTTTGTGGGTTGTTTTTATCATGCAGGATGTTGAACTTGTCAAATGTGTTTTCGGCATCAATTGAGAAGATTATGTGGTTTTCTCCTTCATTCTGTTGATGTAGTATATTTTGTCGACTGATTCTCATATGTTGAACCATCCTTGCATTCCAGGAACAAACCCCATTTAATTATGGTGTTTGATCCTTTTACTGTGCTGTTGAATTCAGTGTGCTAGTTTTTGTTTGAGGATTTTTGTGTCATTTGGTATTAGCACAGTGCTGGCCTCATAGAATGAGTTAAGTCTTCCATCCTTTTTAATTTTTCAGGGTGGTGGATAGTTTGAAAAACATTAGTGTTAATTCTTTAAAAGTTTGGTAGAATTCACCAATAAAGTCATCTGGTACTTGTGTGACTTGATTTTTAATATCATGCTTTTATATAATTGCTTGCTAGAAGAAACAACAACTAGACCAAAGTTATTTGCACTTTTGTTTTTAAAGTCCCATGTATAAATCCCTAAGTGGTTCATGTTGTGTTTTTTTTTTAAGCTCTTAATTACTTTTGAAGTTGGAATATGGAATACTTACTAGTTTTTGCCATTTTAAAAACAATGCCAGTCCTCAGGACTAAATGTTTGGTTTAAACAACGTTATATAACAAAGAGCAGAAACTGGATTTTAACTCTTGATTCTACCTCTTTTTCACTGTGTGACCTTGGAAAGATCCATAGGGTCAGTGTATGTAGACCTATACATACTATACCTATCATATTTGACCTCTAGAATATATCATTTTAAATCCCTTGCAGATAAAATTATTTCTAATAATAATCCTGATGCTAAATAATAGTAAAAAAATGCAGATAGTATTTTTAAACTTAATGTACATAATCATACCATTAAAAATAAAAAAAACTTAAAAAGTACTATAACACCAAAAGGAAAAAGTCAGAGATTAATAATCTTAAGTACATTGATACCATTTTTGTAAAAAGGAGGAAAAAGCATATCTACATACATATAGGTCTGTTTCAGTAATGATAATAATGTTATAGTTTGCTTTTAATTTTTACACAAATTTATTAATGACCTCATCAAATTTGATCTTTGTATATTCAATTTAAAATAGTATATCAGATGTATCTATTTTTCACGACTCATGGTTGATTGAAAATACGTTTTAGTATGAATTTGGAAAAGTTATTTCACATGATGCAACAGATACATTGTTTGGAAGGGTTTTAAACATAGTAATAAATCTAGATGAGATTCAACAAATTTTTATAATAAATTCCAAAAATTGCAATACTGTCTTTGTTTCTTTGGAAACAATTGTGGCTCTCAATGTCTCTACAGGATAAAAATTTTAAATATAAATAAAAACATATACAAATTTAAGTACAAAAATTGGCAATGTAGTAGGATAGATTTGAACTTTTCGGGTTTTATTTCAGCAGTCATTCTGCTATTATCATTTAAATGCAAGAATATTTAATTACCCAGAGGTTGGAGGGGCTGAGCATCCAAAGAAAGCTGTAATGATTCTGAACTACTGGAAATTTACTTTTGAAATGAACATGTATAGGTGACTTCACCTTTATCCAGAACTCTCTCTGTAACTAGATATCCTCTGAATTATCTCCAATGTACAATACAAAGTTTATTAAACATTAAACAGTAAAAAGTATTAATTTGTAACATATTATTAAAATTCAACAATAACCTCAGCAATTGTTTAGAACTTAGACCAAAGAAAGATTTTTGGTTTAGATGTATTTTATCACTGACATTATTCAGAATTACCAGTGCCTGGTGGTAATAAAAAAACAGTCTTTCAGTTGTTTGTGTCACTGATTTAAATTTTGTACAGACAGTGCACCCCATTTGCTTGCATCCAGTGCAGATCTCTCCCACCCTCCTGCTGTTGGTGTGCTATATCAGTATTTAAAAAGAAAGCTGCAGACCGTCATATGTAACACGACTTCACTTTGTTGTTATTAAAGATACAAGCTGTGTGAACAGGAAAAAAATCTGTGGGTACCCGTGAGACTGTTAATACTAGGGAAAAAAATACTTGGAAAGGATTTGGTATGTAAGTGTTGGGGTAGGGGGGAACTGTCACTTTCTGTTAGACTTGTACAAATCTGTTTGAATATAACTATGGCAATGTCGTATAGCAAAATAGTAAATAGTGGAATAATGAAAAGGGATTGAATTGAATATGGAAATGGGGGGGAACTATTACTTTTTTTAGAGTTGCTTCTATTGTTTGAATTATTACAAGGATCTATTGCTGAAATTAAATTACTAGTGTTAAAGAACAAAAAGCTTAAGTTGGGGAGGATAAAAAATAGTTTGATATAGCTTCTAGATTCTTTGCTTGTGATTTTGTAATAATAGGTCAATAATAATATTGACCTTTTGTTAAGCACCATAGGCACTGAGCTAGGATCTTGACATGTGTTACCTTTCATTTTCATAAATATTATTTTGAATATAAAGTATTATATTCCTCATTTTAAAGTTTCAGAAACCTTGCTCAGGATCATACCATTGGTAATAAATGAACCAGAATTTGAAGTAAGGTCTGTGTGCCTCCCAAATCTTCATTTTTCTCCAGTGAGCTGCACTGGAGAAGGCGCTGCATGGTGGGGAGTGAGAACCATGGCTGTCGCCTTTTGGTGTAAAGCACAGGGTCAGCTGAGCTAATTATGGTGTTTTGAATAAAAAGAAAAGAGTGTTCTGTTAAACAATATCTGAGCTTGGATGTTAATTTTCTCTGTATTTATTAAAAATTAGTTTACAGCTAAAGGAGCATACCATTTTGAAGAAGTTTATTTGCACTTTTCTTTTTAGTCTAATGGCTTTTCTCTTATAATAGTTTTTGTGAAAGTCCCATGAAAAGAATTTAATGAACTCTTCATGTTTTATTCATCTTTTGGAGAATTACAGTCCATGAGGCTAAAAAGTTAAAAAGTAATGTTTTGAATTTTGCTTAGCCTGTTTCCCAGATTTATTGAATCCGCAAAACCCTTCTTAATCCTCTCTCCTCTACTGCTACTGTAATGCCTGTTTAGATTCCAGTGGTCTGTGGGACATATTTTAGCAAATTTTAGGGGAACGTTTTACTGTAACTCAAACTTCAGAACCTCAGCCCTTTTTCACTTGAAAAGCCTCTGTGCTGAGGAACTTCAGATAAGATTGGCAGAAAACAGTCTTGCAATAGTCTTATTTATTTATTTATTTATTTATTTATTTATTTATTTATTTATTTATTTGATCTAGTGAAGGGACTTTTAGCTACGTGTGTAAAACCTCTGGACAAACTTGATTTGCACTTCGTGATAGAAAAGGCATAGGTGTTAGAAAGACTTAAGTTTGAATCTACAATTTTGTAGTTGAGTGACCATGGAGAAGTAAATTGAGTGTCCTTCAGCCTTCATTTCTTCATCTGCAAAATGAGAATAATGTAATCTTATGAGGGGTTTTTAGAAGTAAATAAATATGCATTTCATCTAGTGTGATGGCTTATCCAGTTCTTCACCCTGTCTCTCATCATTTCCCAGATAAGAGAGAAAACAAGGCAGCAAGGACATTATGGGCTGCATGAAAACCAGGTTTATCTTTTTGCTAGTAGCTATCTTCTGGCATCTGAGTTACCAGTATGTAAATATACCAGATGTCCTGTTTACATTAGAGCACTGGAATCAGTAATGACGTTGGGTGCTTTGTAGGTTTTTATGGTTTGTTTCTATCACATTTTGCTTGTTTGCTTAATAGGACTTGCTTGTATCAAAACTTAACTTCTAAAGACATACGTAACTATTTGAAGCAGAGACATAAAGTTATTTTTCATCCTCTTTTTCTATTTAGCTCATTGTACATATTCAGAGATAATAATTGAAATTATGCTAAATTTGTGCCTTTTTTACTTACATGTTTTCCATTTTTCTTGTGGTACACGAAAGAAAAAAAAATTTTATCCTTGTATAGAGTATTAAGGAGCATCTCAAGAAGAACTTAGGTGTTTGAAACAGGTGCTTTTGGTGGGTGTTTGCTTTAAGAAATGGAACTGAACCAGAAGAGATTTCTTGAGTTCTCTTCCTATGATTACCAATATATGATTCTTTTTAATGCATCTAAAAATATTTTATGTAAGACATGCATTTTAATTTCTTAAAATAATCATTCTTTGGGCATATTTCTTTAAACTTGACTTAAAAGTTACATGCAGTTAAATGGAATTGGAGGAGAAATAGAGCTATGAAAATTACTTGAATTGTTTGATTTTTTTCATGTATTGATACTAGACACTTAAGGAATTTCAGAAATGTGAATACCCCTGTTCAGTCGTACTTAGCCTTCGATGTTTCTAATATGTCATGTTGTTATTGGACATTAAAACTATAATGCAATTTTATCATTGTGACTCTGAAGCTGATTGCTATAGTAACCGAATATCAACAAGTAAAGTTATGTTTGTCTCTTCTACATAGAAAAATAACATTGTCTGGAAAATGTTACGTGACTTTCAAATTTTCTTTTCTCAGATTCATAATGACCATTTAATAGCTAGTGAAAACCGGCATGTAATCCAGTGGGATGATTTCATGAAAGAACAACACATCGAACAGGCTGGAGTGGATGAAGAGCACAGAAAAGCTGTGGAGAGGCTTAAAGAACAATATGCTGAGATGGAGAAGGACCTAGCAAAATTTTCAACCTTTTAAGACCTTGAAACACAACAGTGACTAATAAAATATTAACTTCCCCCAAAGAACTAACTCTTCCCACCAAACCATATAGCCTTTGCTTCAAGCTTAGCAATATATTCAGTGGTATTCATATCCAAAGAAAGAAACTTCTACTGGAGTCTTAATGAAATGTTTAGTGGAAGAAGAGTGCTATATCTTTCCAGTTTAAGTGCCTATATACGATTTTTTGAATGGGCAGTAGTAGGAGAAAAATGGGATCAATGTACTTTATGTTAATCAGAACTGGCCTTTTTTATTATCTCAGAACTGTAAGTATAGACTTCTTAGAAAAATAATTCATTCTTACAGGGTTAATATTAGCTTGTTATTGTGGCTTATAAAATAGATATAATAGTTGCCTATTTAGTCTCCTTGGCTATTGGAAGAATGTGTGAAGTGTTACCCATGAGTGATGTAAGAACAACTATCCTTGGAACAGAGATCACACTCATGAGAAGTTCGGCTATGGCAAAGGTGGCCACGGTGGTCTGTGAATGGCCTGAAAGGTTACAGATTGTGCAGTGCACTGTAATGCCACATGTTTCCCTGATGACAAGATATACTCATTAAATTTTGTGGCCTTCTAGCAATTAATATTTTCAACTTTTAAAACATGCTTAGAAGGAAAAGCTTACCAAAAATATAGTTGAATTTTAGCCTTTCCAAAAACGATAATCTTGCCCATAATATTTACCTCATTTTTGTGTCTGTTTTGCAGTATGTGAGCTTTGTAAGACAAGTAATGTCTATATGTGTTTCAACTGCTTAATGAGTCATCAGCAAAATCTGCCAAGGGGTCCCTCTGGAACCTTATAAAGATTCTGGCTCTGAATACACCAGAAGTATTTGCCCACGTGGCAAATGACCCATGTTAAATGTAAAACCGTTTTAGTATTTAATGTCTGTTCTCATAAGCAGGTGTATTATGATGAAACATGTACCAACTCTGTCATCACTGTGCTTTTCAAAAATCTGCATTTAACAGTCTAATTGAGGAATTAAGTTGATTTTTTATTTGCCATAAATGAAGCCAAATTAAGTGCAGTATTTCAAGAGATTTATGGCAAATGAATTTGAGGTATGGATCTTTCAACTATTTTTTTTATTGCTCTTCAATAAAGAAAGGCACAAGAAAGAAAATACCCAACTCTCTCATGTTATCTCAGTGTTGCTGGTGGAGAAAAGTGACAATGCTTGCTTGTGTAAATTTATGGCTCACTGTCAAAGCTTCATTCTTGGCTGTATGTTGAAAATGTGATTAAAGTTAATAGAGGAGATGAAATAAGTATTTGAGATTTCTTTCAATAACACTGAACTTCTGCCAAGTTTCTCTGTCCGCTACCGTAGGCTTGACAGGTTCATCAATCATCCTCTGGTACCTGGACTAAAAAGAGCTCTTGCTGACACTAAGGCATGTTGGAATTTTCTTAATTCTCTTTCAGGGGATGAAAAAAAAATGCTTCCAAAAATATCCCATGCATGAAAAGTGAGGGGAACCTTAAATGAAAATTCCCTTTGTACTGTGGGCAGTTTTTCTAATGCTATTTATTGCCAATGCATGCTGTAACCAAGAAAACAGGACTGTGTGTGAGCAGGAATGTAGTGTTAACCGTGGTTACTCCACACGTGCGACAAGGATTCCTGATAGTATCTGTTCATCTCAGGAATAATAAATACTTTACCATACGAGTTTCTATATATGATATAGGGATCTAAGGGACTTCTTAAACCTGAAAGAAATAATGGGCTCTTTAACCTTTAAACATTTAAGATAATTCTTTCTTTAGTTATTCTATGTAACTTCTGAAAGAGATGGTTGGTTGTCCTTCCTTTCAGTATTTCAGTACTGAACACTTTCACTTATATTTCCCAGTTTCCAAAACACTTTTGATATGTAATTTGTATATGTAAATTAACTTTTTATATAGTAATTATGTAATTTACAATATTTATGCTGTTGAGCAGAGATAGTATGGGTTCTTTGTAGCTTACAAAATTATTTTGTGATGAATAGTATGTAAGTGGTAAATATTTATTTTTAAGTTCTAAGTGTTTTCTATTTTTCATGTTTCTGTTTTGACTTACATATGTGTGTAACTTTTGTTTTATTTCCTAACGTAGATTTTTTAGTTCTGTTCTTATTGATTTCTGCTTTAATTGGATTGTGGTCAGTGAATAGTTCATATAAAGTTGATATGATTTGTTGAGACTTTATGACCTAAAATATGGTCAGTTTTTATAAATGTTTCATTAGTGCTTGAAAGTGCATATTTTCCAGTTGGTGGTTGTCTATTAGATCAGAATTGTTATTTTTGTTGTTTAAATTGTCCCATTTACTGTTGTTTTTCCTTCTGCTTGATCTCTCATATTCTAAGATACGTTAAAATGTTTGATTTTTTAATGTCTCCCTGTAATTTTGTCAATTTTTGTTTTGTATATTTTAAAGCTTTGTTATTAGGTACATACAAGTTTAGAATTATCTTCCAAGTTTAGAATTGGAAGATAATTTAATCAGAATTGGAATTAGAATTTAATCTTATAGTTATAGTCATGACCTCTATTTCACATAATGTTTTTATTTCATTTTAAATTGCTTTAAAATCTATACTTTAAAAAAATATATAGGCCACACCAGCTGGTTAGTATTTGTATGATACATATTCTTTGTTCTTCTTTCTGTTGGACCTTTCTGTTACATCTTAAAAACTGTAATTTTTTTCTTTCTATCTGATTATCTTTTACTGGGAGAGTTAAATCAATCTGTATTTATTGAACTTACTAATATATTAAGGTTTATTTATACCATCTTACTGTGATTTCTGTCTCACTTTTTGTTTCTTTACTGCATTGTGGGGGGGGGGTTGTCTTCTTTCTGATTGACTTTTATTTTTCCATTCACTTTTTTCTTTCTAATTTAGAAAGTAAAAAAAATTTATGTTTTAGTGCTTACAAAAAATTTAATTTCCATAGTTAGCATAAAATCTTTACTCTCTTTGTAAACATCAGAGACTTTTGAACAAGCTCTTATTTTTCTCCCTTGACTCAACTTATAGTGTCTAGAATTTTTTTTACCTCAGTTTAACTCCAAAAATAACTATGCAGTCAGTATTTGTTTACATTTACCTGCAAGTTTACCATTTTATTATGCTTGAAAGTTAGCCGGGTGGATTGACAGTTATTTTTTCTCAGTATTTACTATTATTCCACTGTCACCTTGCCACTGTTTCTTCTGAAATGGCAGTTGTCAGTGTGATCAGATAAGCTACTCCTCTGCAGCTCATCTGTCATTTCTCTCAGGTTATGTTTAAGGTCCTTTATCTTTGGTGGTCCACAATCAAATGTCACTACACTACAGTGTGTCCAGCTACGTGTTTCTTTTTATTTTGCTGTTCAGATTCATTGAGCTTTTTGAATGTGAGAATTAGTGTCTTTCATACATTCTAAAAATTCTCAACTTTTATCTCTTTGAACAGTGTACTTTCCCCATTCTGTCTATTCTCTTCTTTAGGGAAGTAAGTTAGACTTATGTTTCACTTCTTTACCTAGTTCTCCTTATCTCTGATTCACATTTTCTATCTCTTTATGTGTTGAATTCTGAATAATTTTTTAAATCTGTTGTTCATTTCACTAATTCTGTCTTCTCACTGCCTCTTATCTATTTAACCTATCAAATTTTTAATTATGGTTATATTTTTTTCATTTCCACAAGTGTTCCTTGGTTCTTTCTCAAACTTCCTTGGTCATTTGAGACAGTTCTATTATTCCCTTTTTCTTTTCTTTAAAAATATTAAATGTACTTTTTTTTTGGTAGCTCTGAGTCTACAGTTTTTTGGTTTTTGTTTTTTCTAAAACAGGTTTATGATGATTTATTTTCTAATGTGATCAGTGATTTTGATTGTGAGTTTCATGTTCTTCTTAGTTTTATTTTGGGAGATTTTTTGTTTAAAGTATGTTACTACAGAGATCTCATTTTCTAGCACTACTGGGTTTTTTTTTGTTTTTTGTTTTTTTGTGACACTGCTAACCTTGGACCACTTCAAAGTCAATTTTCACCTTGGGTTTTCCTGCCTCTCCCTTCCCTGTTCTTTAGCACATGCATGTTTACACACACAAGTAGTGCGGATTTCATCCTTAAACACATGTGAGTGTTGGACTATAATAGATATTCCCAGAGGAGAGTTTTTCCCCTTTCACAGCTCTACTTCAAGTAATGAAGAGAAACGTTAGGTGTTTTCCTGGTTCACTCACTGGAAGTGGTACCCTGTGGGGGGTTCACCAGTCCTATTGCTCATACAGCTCAGTCCCTCTTATGAGCTGAATTGTGTCCCTCAAAATTTGTGTGTGGCAGTCCTAACCCTCCATGTGACTACATCTGGAGGTAGAGCCTTTAAGGAGGTAATGAAGGGTAAATGAGGTCATAAGGGTAGGGTCCTAGTCTGATAGCACTGGTATCCTTGTAAGAAGAGAGAGAGAACAGAGCGCACTCTACACATACTACAGGGAAAAGGTCACATGGCAAAGCAAAAAGGTGGCCATCTGCAAACCAGGAAGAGAGACCTGACCAGAAATGGAATTTTAGACAACTTGCCCTTCAGACTTATTCTCTCCAGAACTGTGAGGAAATAACTATGTTTTGTTGATGCCATGTTATCTGGTATTTTACTATGGCAGCTGGAGCAGACTGATACAGCCCCATACCATGATTCTTATCCCCCATGCAGGCATGGCCCCTTTGAACTGGGGTCCTTCTGGCTGCAGAGGAGGTGAAATGCCTTTATGACAATTATAAATTCCTGAGCTAAATGATCCTATAGAATTTCACTTTTATCTGACCTTTTTTCATTTGTTTTTAAAGTTATTAGGGAGATTTCTCTATAGGATTGACATGTTAGACAAATATATATTGATCTTATTATATTAAAGTTTATTCCCCCAAATATGACCATATTATCAAATAAAAGATTATACCCTTTCTTTCATATATTATACCAAATATTTTCTACATGATTGTTTTTTATTACATCTGAACTAATTTGATAGTTTCTATTCTATGGATTCTTTTTACTAATTATGAGCTAATTAAAGCAATTAAAAATACTATAGTCTTGCTCTAAACTGCATCACTCATATCTGAATACTTCATTTTAGTTTCTCTTTTTTTTAGGACACTATTGGGTTCTATGAAAATGCCCCAGGTCCCTATTTGGATGTGTAGGTAGAAGTACTAGCTCTGTGGTATTAAACCCAAAGTACATGGAAATCTGGAGGAGTCACAGATGCTTCCAAGAGACATTGTAAATTCTCCTTTTTGCTCCTGTAACACATAGCTTTCATTCTGAAGACTTCCATTTAGTTTGTAAACTGTTCTTCTAATGTACAGATAGAGCAAAGTAGCTTTACAGTTGTGAGTATGCAAAAATACATAATTTATTCATGTATTATTTATTTGTTCTCCATACAAATAACTGTAAACCTACTTTTGACACACCCTATACATGTGTTTTAATATATTGGACTCTGGTTGCCATTGCAAATTAAAAGGCAGAGGGTTTTATTGCTTAGGAATTTAGCATAATGACTACTTTTCCTGAACTTTTACCCTAGGGGCTATTTTTTGCTATTTGGTACTGTAAGTCTTTATCTCTGGATAAAAAGTACCAGAAAAATATTTTAAACATTAAGTCAAAATATTTGAAGCTACCATTATAGAAAATATATTTTCTAGCAAATGATTCTTAATTCTTTAAAAAGATACCATTTATTTTTAACTCCAATAAAATGTGAATCTTAATATTTTAGTGACTTAGTGCAACCCACAGTCACACCATGAAAGGCAGATTGAAATCAGTTATATCATTTACACTCAGCTCTTGTTATTCTAATTTTTTTAACTGCTGAAGACAGTGCCTTTTTTGTGACTTGCCTGCCAATATTAGTAAAGCAATGTTTTCAGATTTTTTTGTATTTATGTTCCATAAACAAGACAAGAAAAATAGATTTTAAAAGATGATCACTCCACATAGCAATAAATTAATAAACACTAACATTTGATCCTCACAAAAATTCAAAGTTAAAATTATCTCTGAAGAAATAGTCAAAATCAATTTAAAGTAAACATTACTTTAATTTGTATAACAGCTTATAGTTTGCAGTTTATACTTTTAAGAGGCTACCATGTAATTTTTATTTTTAAAATCAAGATGTATTCTTTTTTCCTCTCATTTTATTTTTTATTATATTTTCTTTTTTTAAAGATTTATTCATTTATTTTTAGAGAAGGGG